ATACACACACACACACACACGTATGTAGGTACCCCATATATACATTTTGGGTTAAAGGGTGTAGAAATAAAGCAGATAAATGAGTAAAGACAAACAGCAACAGAACAGAAAATATTGTTTTTATTCAGTGTGTGGAAGTGAAGTGTCAGGTTTAGTTTAGACGTTTCTGTTAGAAAGAGTCAAAGCTTGTTTATTGTCAGAATAGTTTGAGCTGCTGGATGAATGACTTTTGAATTAAAATAAAAGTTTCTAGATGCAGGATCTGTAACTGGAACTAAAACATCCTGAAGCAGAAACAAAAACTGAAACAGCTCTGAACACCTGAGGTTCTGTTCTAACCCAGTTTTCTGTCAACACTGGATCCTGACAGGTTTCAGGCTCTGAAGTCCAGATCGGGTCAAATTTACAGCCTGAAGTTTTCTGGTTGACGTCACTGGAATCTGTGGATCTGTTGGGCTGGTTCCAGTTTCTGCTGATAAATGTGATTAATGCTGAATTAAACTGATGAAACCAAACTGTCACTTTCACAACACAGATTATAATCCCTAACAGTTCAAACAGCTCTTATTTTTAACCTGATACCGTTACAATAAAACTTCAGAGGAATATTAACAGATTAATTTAACAGACGGACAGCTGTAAATATAAGTTGTTTACATTGTAATAACCAGTGTTGTATAAAGTACTTCAAAGTGATACTTGAGTAAAACTACAAGTATCTTATAATAAAAATACTTTGGTAAAAGTTAAAGTCTTCTCTAAAAATATTACTTGAGTAAAAGTACAAGTATCTTATCATAAAAATACTTTGGTAAAAGTTAAAGTCTTCTCTAAAAATATTACTTGAGTAAAAGTTTTAAAGTATCAGAATTTTTTAAGTATCAAAAGTAAATTTCTGACACAAAATCTACTTAAGTATTAAAAGTACTGAGTAAAAAGTGAGCAGTTAGATTTTACAAAATGACATTTATTGGGAGGTGACTTCTCCAAAAAATATATATTCTAACAGTGTGCAGCTGTGATGGGTTGTGTACAAGCTAATAGTGTGTCAGAATTGTATATATTTATACTTCTCATCCAAACACAATTAAATTCACTCTATAGGAGACACAGTTTATCAGGAGAGGATTTTTTAAGTAATAATAATAGGAGTAACGACTTTCTACTTCTTACATTTTAAAAAAAATGTAGTGAGTAGAAAGTACAGATAATTGTGTAAAAATGTAATAAGTAGAAGTAAAAAGTACGCTGAAAAATAATTACTCAAGTAAAGTACAGATACCCAAAATTTCTACTTAAGTACAGTAACAAAGTATTTGTACTTAGTTACTTTACAAATAAGAACAGCTCCTCAGGCCACTGAGACAAGTCCCTGCTGGAAATAATTATTAAATCAATATAAATCAACAACACTGAGTACATTTCTTTATTTGGTAGAAAAAACTTGTCTCCTCTCCAAACATGAGCAGAGTTCTATCAGTTCATGGTTCCTCAGAACCAGTTCCACTGGTTCCACTGGTGGCTGAAGAAACAGGCCTCCTCCTCCTCCTCCTCCTCCTCAGACCAGCCACACTGAACATCCCCGTGTTTGATGGAGGAGGACAGCCTTGGTCCGGCTGCAGGATCTTTTTGTCCATGAGGAACTCCTGGTTCCTTTCAGTTCTTAGTTTCAGGTTTCCTTCTTCTCTTCACGTTCTGATGTGAACCTGGAAGAAACAACAGAGACGTCACCAAACCTCAGCGCTTCTGAGCAGCTTCTTATCGCCATCTGTATCATATTTGCTACGCAGGATTCTGTGACCTATATTTTATCAATGTGGTCAATATTTTCCTCAAAAACCTGTTGTACATCATGTGAGACCTGCATTCTGCCCTCTAGTGGATGAATAATG